AAACTTTAAACATCCATGACTTAAACACTGTATCCAGGATCAAAGCCACATAGCTGCACCTGCAAGGTGAATACAGCTGGTAACAGAACAACGTGTTTGAATGCGTACATTAACAGGTTTATGATATCACTGCCCCATCTAAGACACGATCTGACTTTAATTACATTTGACTCGAGTGTTTCGTCAACTTAATGTGTTGCTTAAAATAATACTTCTGCATACAGTATGTGACACTGTGAGTGTTGCACGGCCAGATACGGCTCAGCTGACTCAGATAAGGAAATATATGATACATTATGATGTGATATGCCGCGGACTGTACTTAATGTTACTCTGATCCGGTTACTTATGTTGTGGCAGATATTTAAGTAAGCTTTCTTAATGCTAATGTTATAATAGTCAGATTGCTCTGAAGATGGGAGGTGATATTCTATTAATGTTCACGTTCACACAGTCTGTGATTTTTGCCGGCCGTCTTTCCTGCAACGGCAGCTTTTCTGTATTTCCTTTCTCCTGTAATATGACTTGATCGCTTTAAACTCCGCACACTGAGCTCTGATTGGTCAGCAGGCAGTGCTTTCACTGAGTTGAGCTCTTAGCCTGCAACCTAACCTGGTCCGGAGCAGGTTAGCCGCTCAGCATCAGTTACCATGGAGATCTAGCCCGCTAAGAAGAGAACCAGCGTCGTAGGACCGGAAACCCAGAGTTTTCCCTGAAGTTAGCTCGCTAAGCAAACATCCGGCTTCGTAGTACAGGCCTCAGGTCTTCTTTAGACCAGCTCTTGGTCTTCGAAACAAGAATACCTGACACCAGCCATGCTAATGAAAGGGTGAACTTCCTGTGTGCAGGTTATGACTTCACGGAGGTCTTGCGGTGGTTTGGAGAGCGCGTGGATCGGATCATCCTGCTGTTCGACGCTCACAAACTGGACATCTCTGACGAGTTTTCCGAAGCCATCCGAGCCTTCAAAGGACAAGACGACAAGATCCGGGTTGTCCTCAACAAGGCCGACCAGGTGAGAGGGCGAAGAGAGGGATCAATACATCTGATTTGATTTATTTCGAATGTGTAAAACAATAATACAAAAAAAATAATAATGAAATGAAACATGAATTATTATACTATACAAACTTAAGCAGTGTCAAATTGATAAACAAAAATATTACTGACTTACAAATTATATAGAAATAAATAAACTACACATCCGAAAAGGAGTGGGAGGAGTTTATTTAATCCCACCCCTTCTCCCAAAAACTAAATTATTAACATATATATATATTTTTTTGCTTCACATGAAGCCATTGTTAGAGTTATAGATTAAGCTCTCTCCCTCACCTGCCAGGTGGACACGCAGCAGCTCATGAGGGTTTACGGCGCCCTCATGTGGTCGCTGGGGAAAGTGATCAATACTCCTGAGGTGGTGAGAGTCTATCTGGGATCCTTCTGGGGCAAACCTCTGCAGAACACTGAGAACAGGTCAGATATTCATTCATTCATCCATATATTCATTCATTCATTCATAAAATCACCCGTTCCTTCATTTATTCATGTTATTCATTCACACAGACAACAGATGTATTTTTTTATTCTTTCACGTATGTTTCTCCTCGTTAACTAATTCACTCGTTCACTCCCCAGGCGTCTGTTTGAGGCGGAGTCTCAGGATCTCTTTAAGGACATCCAGAGTCTCCCGAGGAACGCGGCGCTGCGTAAGCTGAACGACCTCATCAAGAGGGCGCGGCTGGCCAAGGTGAGGCAGGAAGTCACGTGTTGTGTTTGGAGTTCAACACCCAGAGACTGGAATGTTTGGTTGTGCTTCAGAAACAGAACGAGGGCCGGGAATGTGAACTCTGGTTTCAGAAGACCTTAGATCAGGGGGGTCAAACTCAATTTCATCGCAGGCCACATTGGAATTATGGTTGCACTCAAAGGGCCGGTTGTAACTTTAAGACCATATAAATATTTAATATACAGGACTGTCTCAGAAAATTAGAATATTGTGATAAAGTTCTTTATTTTCTGTAATGCAATTTAAAAAAACAAAAATGTCATACATTCTGGATTCATTACAAATCAACTGAAATATTGCAAGCCTTTTATTATTTTAATATTGCTGATTATGGCATACAGCTTAAGAAAACTCAAAAATCCTATCTCTAAATATTAGAATAGTTCCTCAGACCAAGTAAAAAAAAAAGATTTATAACAGCAAAACACAATCAAACATTTGAAAATGTCCATTAATGCACTCAGTACTTGGTTGGGAATCCTTTTGCACGGATTACTGCATCAATGCG